CCAAACGGCACGCTCTCGGGCCGGCCCGGCGCTCTCGAGAGCGTCTTCTCGCTCTCTTCGAAGGCGAAGATCTCCTCTTTTTTTCTTTTTTGCTATTGTTCCACCGCGGGACAACTTGCGAGCGAGCAGCCTCGCGCTCACTCATGCCATCTGTGGCTTGCAGGTCCTCTCGCTTCATCCTAAGCTGTAGTGTTTCTGGCGCTTCTTCCCGCTTATCGTACCTGCAGCAATCAGAGCGTCCACGGCTGCTAGCTCTGCGTGCAAAAGCACTTCGTCTTCCTCGTCCGGTGCTGTGTCTGCCTCCATTTTACCGATTATGAGACTAGGAATTAACGAGTTTGTGGTCTTGTGTGATCGGCTAATATTAAGTTGTACTGTCCTTTGATTGGTTGGTTCTTCGCGATCTGCAGTGTCTTTTCTGTTCGTATAGGGATTTGACTGGCTGTTAGCTGGCGGCAGTTGCATTTCATCCGCCGCTGTATTGTCTTCGTCACGCTGGCGTTGGCGGCATTTCCTTGTTTGCTTTTGTCGTATCCGTCAGCATGTTTCTTCTTAGAGCTAAACCAGACTTATACTACCGCGGAGCACGTCCACAAGTTTGAGAAGAACCTAAACAAGTTCTCTGCCAGTAGTTGACGATTTCTTGTGATGTGAACTTGTGTAAGGTAATGCAAATGTCAGTTGCGCAATGTTTACTACAAGCAGTTGCGCAGGTTGCATTCGGACAAGAAGCAAGGCAACAGTGCTGCAAAGAAAATATGTCAGATACTTCCTCCGTCCGGTAATATAAGGCGTGGATTAGAAAAAAAAGTCGCTTTAGCGTCAAAAGTGAGATTTATTCGTGACTGATTGGTAAAAAATAGCAACAAAACACAGTGGTTCATTTGGTGATTTTCGCGCTCAGTTTGAATGAGTGGTTGACGAGCTACGGTCACCAAAATACGGCCTCACTTCTCATTTTGCTTTCTTCCTTCGCAAAAAGCCCAGATGAGCACCAACACCGATGGCGTGCGCAGTAAAAGGAGGATCAGCACAATCTATTTTCACATCTCAATGTCAAGGTATACAGATCGAATCAATACGTAGACTCGTTTAACAGTCGGTGCAGTACTGACAGCTCAAGATCCATTTTATTGCTATAATGACAAATCATGGAACGATACAGGCCCTAACAATAATATGATGCCACTGACATTGTTTCCTAGTTTGCTTTAGTGCTCTGGACGCCGCGTAAGGTGGATTCTAAATGTAAAATCCATATCCTGGTAGAGTAATTACTGTAGGGCAAGAGCTGGCTTTCATGCCTATTATGTACTTCTATGTGTCGATATCTACCAAATTCAATCTGCTACACAACAGCGCGGGACCGAACGTTACTATCACTAGTATTTGCCGCTGTACCCGACTGTTTTCTGAAACGGTTAGTTGTCGTTCTCCCAAATTCAGTGTCT